CCCCAAAACCCCAAAACCCCAAAACCCCAAATATATTATTAAAAATAGAACTAAACTGATAAAATTGTACGTTAATACAGTTTTAACATGAATTGTTTTAAAGATTAATCAGATATTAAAACCTCAGATCATTAAGATTAAAAACGAGTCTGACTCCAATGAAAATGGCCAGTGTTCACTGACGCCTTGTATATTTGATGATGCTACTTCTGAGAGATCTGAGGACAAGATATGCCGGATCAGCAATTAGAGGCTGCAAATAAATACCCTTTTCCATAGACTTTTGGTCGTGAAGCCCTCTTTTTATTTATTTCAGTCCCCTGATTTCTTCCAAAAATGTTTAATGACTTTTTGTTCGGATCTTCCAAAGATTTAGTCCCGATTTCTTTAAAAGCAAGATTTAAACAAAATTTGGAATTTTTGTTCTTAAATATTTTAAGCCAACGAGATTTTAAAAAAATGGTGTTGGATAAACAAGGGGATTGGTAAAGTATATCAGAGAAAGCCTGATCAAACTATTTGGAATCAGTGTAGGTCAAGAGGTATTTTTATATGCAAAATTTGTTTGCTAATGGTATCTTGGCGGATAGGAAAAATACTGGAGTGTATATATCAATGGTTAATGTACCAGTGAAATATTCTGATACAACAAAGATGATTTTACAAATGCAGCAACTGATTTGTGGAACTTCTTTATCCTGTTCATATTCTTAGCCCCTCTGTACAGGTTCTCCTATAACTCAACAAATGAGAAAGAGACCAAATTCAGAGAAGCCATGAAGATCATGGGACTTATGGATACTCCATATTGGCTTTCATGGCTTACTTATTACCTTGTCATCAACACTTTTCTGAGTCTGATAATGATGCTGATTCTGATACCTGTGTTCGAGTACTCAAACAAGTTCTTGGTGTTCTTGTATTTGTGGATCTACGGAATGACCATGTTCAGCTTTGGACTGCTCATTGGAGCATTCTTCTCAACTGGTAAGACTGCATCCATTGTGTCAAGTATGTTGTTCTTCTTGTCTTCATTCTTGGTCACTGCAGTTCAAGATCAAACTGTTTTTTAAACTTTGAAGAATATTTCTTCGTTCGTCCCAGCCATGGCTGCACAACTTGGAGGAGTCAACTTGCTTGCCTTTGAAGAGTCTGGTGTGGGACTCAGCTTTGACAACTAGAATGAAGTATACTCAAACTACAGACTCTCAACTTGCATCTAGATAACTTGTTATCTTTCTTCGTGTTCTTGATTGCTGGACTTTATCTTGAGAATGTGATGCTTGCAGCAGTTAGAGTAAGAAAGCCATTGTGGTTCGCATTCACTAAACAGCTCTAGTGTATATCTAAGCATAAAGAAAGAGAAGGAAGAAAAAATAAACAAAATTCTGGTAAAGGAGAAATCCTTGTTGATAAGCACCATATTGATCAAACTAATTTTTAAGATATTCCTGAAAACTTCAGAAGAAAGGAAGACTATAACAAGTTCCTCAAAATTCAAGACCACAAGAAGAAGTTTGGTGGCAATTTCAGGGCTGTCAACAACCTCAACGCTGAAATGTATGAAGACCAGATCTTTGCTTTGCTCGGCCACAATGGAGCAGGCAAGTCCACCATCATAACATGATATGCGGTATGATCTCAAAGGCCAAAGGAACTGCTTCCATTTATGGCTATGATATCGAAACAGAAATGAACGAAATCAGGAAGATGATGGAATATTGTCCCCAACATAACATTCTTTTTCCTAAGCTGACTGTGAAAGAACACTTTCAGATATTCACGAAGTTCAAAGGAAGGTCTCAGAAAGAAATCGACGAAGAGATCGATGTCCTGATCAAAGATTTCAACTTGGATTCCAAGAGAAAAGTGCTGTCTAAAGACTTTTCTGGAGGTAACAAGCGTAAGCTCTCGGTGGCTATGGCCATGATTTGGAACCCTCCAGTGGTGTTCCTTGATGAGCCATCAGCAGGTATGGATCCTAAAGCCAGAAGATTCATGTGGGAAGTCATTGCCAAGATTTCTACAAGAGGCAAGAACTCTGCTGTTATCCTAACCGCCCACTCAATGGAAGAAGCAGAAGCCTTATCGACAACCATGGGAATCATGGTCGATGGACAGTTCAAATGATTTGGGTCTAAGCAACACATCAAGAACAAGTTTGGAACTGGATACCAAGTTGAGATTAAGTTTAGGATAATGGAAGATTAAGAAATTCAGAAGAAGATAGATAACATCAAACTGTTAGACTTCTTGAGAGACCACTACAGCCCATGCTACAAAGTCGAGAACATCAAAGGAGCCGAGTACATCATGCTCAACAAAGATGCTTGCTCAGCTGTTCTCAGAGATCTACTAGGTAGCAATGCAGCTTACAATGAGTTCCACTCTAATGGATTCGGTAAAGAAATAATTGAAGAGCTTTAAGAGAACGGATACTATCCCGCTCACTCTCTGCTGAACTGGGAGTATGTGGTCAAGAACAATTTCGCATCTCTGAACGTTTTAAGTAAGTGTTTCCATTGGCAAAGACCTAACTTCTATAGTTGACGAGTTCGGTGAAGCCACTCTGATTGAGCAATACTCACCCAGATTCAGGTACAGAGTTCCGAAGGGAGAGAAATCAGTAGGATACTTCTTCAGTCTGATGGAGAAATTAAAATCAAAGCTTGACATTGATGAGTACTCAGCTTCATAAAAACACTGGTCAAATCTTTAATGGATTTACAAGAGCTGAAAGAAATCGATTATAGCAGAGACTCTTTATCAAAGGCACTTTTCTCAACCCTGGATTTGTTATTGGTGATAGTAAAGCAATATCTAGATATTAATAAAATTAAGCAAAATAACATGTTTTATTTTATTCTTGTTATAAAATTACCATAATAAATATTAGAGATTAAAAATCGATGAGCTTAATCTGGCCTTCATTCTAGAATGAACTTAAAATATTTCCGACCATAGATCTATCCAATAACCCAGTATCTTCATTAAACAATCCTCAAACCACACAACACCATTCAAACAAGCAGACCATCACCCATCTGGACAACCCTAAAGCTCAACACCACCACAACAATCCCCTATCCTTCCAATCCTCCCACATTCCCACATACCCCCTATCTCTAAACCTTCTTCTCCTATCACCCCTCTTGACTCACCCACAATATTACCTTAAGAATCCCGGCTAAATCCCCACTTAACCCCCTACGCACCCACATAAATTCCATTCCTAGTGTCCAATACGCCCCTTTTTATTACCTAAAATTCCGCTTCTTCATATTCTCCAGGAGATTAGACCAGCTGGCTTAGAATTTATTCCTATTTTTTTTATAGAATTTACTTATTTTTCTTATAACTCTAACCAATAAGCTAGAAGCTACATTGAACAATCCTCAATGAAGAGAAACCATACTAACAAGAAGACTATCACCCATCTGAATAAGTATGAAGATGAAGACGATGGCAATTATTATGATCCTTCCAATATTTACATATTTTCATCAAGATCTTTACCTTTAAGCTTTGCTTAAATTATCATAAGTCATTTTATTCTGTTATAATGCTATTTTTAATAGTACTGACTTAATAAAAATATTAAAAAATTAGCCAGATATATTGAATTTGGCAATCCAATTCTCAATTCCCATAAACCTACTTGGGGTTTTGGGGTTTTGGGGTTTTGGGG